CCCCGTTTGGCTTGTACCAATTTCGAGTCATGCCATTCGGGATGAAGAACGCCCCCGCGACATTTCAGCGGATGGTGGATCGGCTACTGGACGGGTTCCAGGACTATGCGTGTGCATATCTGGACGATATTGCCATCTACAGTCAGACCTGGTCAGAGCACCTACAACACATAGGGGCAGTAATAGATCGGATCCGAGAGGCAGGGCTTACCTTGAAACCCAGCAAATGCCACATAGGGATGGCAGAGGTCCAGTACTTAGGACACCGGGTTGGTAGCGGGCAGCAGAAGCCTGAGCCCGCAAAGATTGAAGCTGTAGCCCAGTGGCCTACCCCTAGGACCAAAACCCAAGTCCTGGCTTTCCTAGGTACCGCAGGGTATTACAGAAAATTTGTGCCCAACTACAGTGCCCTGGCCAAACCCCTGACTGATTTGACGAAGAAGAACCTGCCCCAGCAGGTCGTCTGGGCCCCAGAGTGTGAACAGGCATTCAACCAGCTGAAGACGGCTCTGACCAATGCCCCTGTACTGGCTGCTCCTGATCCAACTAAACGTTTTCTTGTTCACACAGACGCCTCAATGTTTGGATTGGGAGCAGTATTGAGCCAGGTCGGAGCCGATGGCGGAGAACACCCCGTAGCCTACTTGAGTCGGAAACTGTTACCCCGAGAAGTGAGCTACGCCGCCATAGAAAAGGAATGCCTGGCCGTGGTGTGGGCCCTGAAAAAGTTACAGCCGTATCTCTATGGGCAACCCTTTTCTTTGCTCACAGATCACAACCCGTTGGTGTGGCTAAACCGTGTGGCTGGGGACAATGCCAGGCTGCTGCGCTGGAGTTTGGCGCTGCAGCCCTTTGACTTTACGATCCACTACCGCCCAGGGAAACAAAACGGTAATGCCGACGGGTTGTCCAGACAAACAGACCTTGAGAAGTGATCTGTGAGCACTCCCCCGGACATCCCCAAGCCGATCCGTGGGGATCAGACTGTGTATGCCGGCTTGGTTCTGGGGGAGCATTGTGGCAAACCTAGCCACTTGAACTATAACTAGAGACTGTGCCTTTAAGGGTTGCCTACAGGTCTGGGGAGATATGCGCTTTATTCTTATGTATGTGCTTGATGTATTTTCTGCAGAGACTGTAATTACTGTTTAGCCGAAGGCCAATGGCGGTTTGTATGGGGATTCCCGTTCGTTTCACGAACGGCACTTTGGAGGGCCGTTCGTGAAGCGAACGCGATACCCCCTCATAGCCCACACACTTAGAGGCGTGTGGCGCTAGTTAACCGATTGCAACATTGTTGCAATCGGTAATTAGGGGCTCTCCTGGGTGGCCGTCGTTCGACTACCGACCATGCGGCGGTCGGCCATCTTGGATCCTTTGTTCCTCAGCGGGTCCGTGTTGTCGAACGCATAGTATTACCAATAGCTATTCGACGGCACGAACACCGCTGAGCCTCCAGGACGTTCGGGAGTTTCAGAACCGTGTTCACTAAAAGTAATCGGTTCTTTTCGTATGTTTTGAAAGAAATGTGTTTTCTGTGCGGCGTTCGGTTATTCTAGCTGGGATCTGAGCGGCAATCTCCCGAATGATGCGCCCAGACCCCAGCTATCTACCGAACGTCCATTCGTGCAAATCCACCGTGTATTTTAAAAGTTATAGATTTTTGTGTGAATTGCCGGTTCTGCTGCACGAGGGGATAATCCCCTTAACGGTGCATTCTGGGAGGATGATCCCTCTCGTGCAGCAGTGCCTGATGGGAGAAATATGTTGTACTGTAAGTCCCCCATGTAGTCCCCTCTGGGAGTGCCCCTGGGGAGGGACTCAGGAAACCCCTTGCATGGGGACTTGTATAAATTGTCGTGCCGATTAAAGGATTTCAGTTGACTCCCAAAACTGTGTCTCGTCCGGTTATTGGGAGGTTGGGGATATTGCCTTGTTGTTTTCAGCGCTTGACTGTGGATTCGTTTCTGGACCAGCGGAATTCGTGGATTTATTATTGGCGTTCCGCTACAGACACAAAACTCTGTAAAGTAATACAATGTGAACAGGATATAAATTAGATAAATTGGATGGGACTGGGCACTCAGATGGGGTAAAGTGTATTGTAAAATTATGCAATTTGGGGTAAAGAATGCACAAGCAACTTACACTTTAAACAATAGTGAGTTAGGCATAACAACACACGAGTAGGATTTGGGAATTGTTATAGACAACAAACTAAGTAAAAATGTGCATTGTCAAACAGCAGTTGCTAAGGCCAGTAAAGTACTGTTATGCATAAAAAGGGGCATTCATACTGGGGATGCAATCAAATCTTGCCTCCTTAAAAATCAATGGTAACATCATACCTTTAATATGCTGTGCAATTTTGGGCACCTATTCTAAAGAAGGATAGTAAGGCAATTGAAAATGACAAGCTACAAAGTTAAAGGGGCACTATAGTGTCAGCAACACACGTGTATTCCTGAAACTATAGTTCTAAAACCACCATTGAGGTGGTCGGCGCTCCTTACCACTTGTTAGAAAGGTCATTTAATCCCCTCTTCCAGTGCCGCGCGGTATTGCAAGCATTGGATTGGCTGAGATCGTTAATTCTGATGATC